TCTTCACAGGCCCACAAACAAGATGCCTCTGCAGAAACAGAAAGCAGAACAGGTAAAAATAGGAACCCTTCATCACTGCAGTGTGTGTGTGTGTGTGTGTGTGCAGCTACCTGTGTGTGTTTGGCTCCGCTGGCTCTCCACAGCATTGCTATCTGCTGCTGGCGGAACTCATCTTGACAGGAAGTCACATGTAACGCTGTTACCATGGCTGCCTATGAAAGAGGCAGTGACAAAATTAAAATCAGTGCTTTGTCTGCCCGTTTTATTTTGTTTTTTATTAATAATTTTATATTAAAAACAAAGACATGGAGTGTGTTTGTCTCACTGTGCAGTCAGCTGTGGATAGGTCCAGTTGTGCCAATTGGGAAACGCCGTCTCTGTTAACTAAAACAGGACAACAGTCTGTCAGCTGTTATTATACAATATACCCTGGACACAGTCTGTTTGACCTGCTCCCCTGCTCCCCTCAGTCCATTCGCACCAGAACCTCTCGCCATAAGAACAGTTTCTTCCCCTCTGCTGTTGGACACATGAACAATAACCGTATGACTGTTCCCACCACTAACACATGACCCTACGCTGTGTTCACTGCATCATTCCATGTTTGGCACTGATCACCACCTGCACTCATGTATATATCATGTATATATCTATCTATCTACTTAGCACTTTTAATTCTTATTCTCATTTTTATTTTCATGTCTATTTAAGCTTAATTTATAACAGTATTTATAACAGTATGTTTGCACTGAAGCACCGCAGCAATTTCCTAATGTTGTAAACCCGCTCAACATTTGGCAATAAAACTCTTTCTGATTCTGATTCTGATATGAAATCTCTGTTATCTCACTCATCTTTTATCTAAGCTAAGCTGCATCAATGCAGTTTTATTACTTTGGGAACTAAGCTTGCTGGCTTTCTTGGAATAAGTAGGTACCCCTCAGACACACACACACACACAGGAGAAAGTTGGCTTAGCTTAACGTAAACATAAAACAGTCTTCTAAGCTCACTAATTAAACGGGAATGTTATAATTATGAGTGCCGCAAGTTATTCTTGGCCAGGTGAGAAGCTTGCCGGAGCCTCCTGGCAACCAAACTGGAAACATGAAGTTTGAGGTCACTGGCTCAGCAAGAAGCAATTCTGGCACAAATCCTTAGATAAAAATAAAACAGAGCTTGATTTATTTGAGTGGACTGCAATTAGCTTCAGTAAAGAGAAAACTGCCAGTTTCATTTTAATTTTTTTTTTTGGACAAGCAGGAAGATGAGATATAGAGATTTCTAGACCTTGACACAAAAAGCAACAACTGATGAAAAATATTTGTCCTAGATTTGGATAAACTGATCATTCTTCATGATGAGGTGTAAATGAAGGCCTGTGGTAAGCAAGGGAACAATGGGGGAAAGCACTCAGACTCACCCGTGCAGGTGCCAAGGCTGGGGTCGTATCCCGGCAGCCCCTCCTCTTGAAAAACTTGCTTCAGGTTGATCCTGAGTGCTCCTTCGTTCTCTCCCTCCTCTGCTTTCCTCCCTCCCCCTCCGCTAGCTCTCCTGCCTCTCTCCATTTCCCTCTCTCTGTATTGAGACTTCTCTAGCGAGTCCTGAATCTTCTCCTCCCGCTCTTCATTCGTCCAATTACCCGGGGCTGTCGGCCAATCGATTCCCAGAGCTCGGAGGAAACTGATGATGTCGCTGTCTTCAGGAAGTGTTGGGCAGAAGGACACGGCATATCTAAGACAGGGAAAGGGATTAATTAACAGTTGCATCCATTGATGGTTAATTGATTAGTCTATAGATTATCAAGAAGCCAATGGTAAAATCTTTCAAATGTCCACTAATGCAAAAAAGAGAAAAATCAGCTAATTGTCACATTTGGGAAGCAGAAAACAGTTAATTTAGGGAATTTTCCAGTGTTATGATGACTGTGTTATTAATTCATTTTGAATGAGAGAAAAATTAAAACCAAGAGGACTTTAAAAGCCCGACATTTCTGTCAAGGTTTACAAGGTCCAGGTCCATTAAACCAGACTCACCCCTGTCTTCTCAGCAGTGCCCCCATGTGGTCAGCCAGAAGAACAGTCCTCAGCTGGCCTAAACTCATTGTGTCAGGACTGGGTGTGTTGGACTTAGGGTGCAGTGCGGGGCAGTTGAGCACCACACAGCCCTGCCTCTGACTCAAGGGCTTCAGGTACTCTGCAGCTCCACCCGCCAGAACGGCCCTGAATGTGGCAGCCCGATCCACCCGTACCCTTAGACCTTCACCCATCACCTCCCCACCAGCCACAGGGAGAACCCCACTACCACGAAGGGACAGCACTCTGGACATCACTGCTGGAGGGACCTGGGAGGATGTAAAAATAGATATAGGATGTCACATACAAGCAATAAGAAAAGTATAATGTATGAAGGGCGTTTTTATTGTTTTTATAAGTATTAATGGTTGTCTGATACATGACACATTCACGCAGTTATAATCACACAATCCTCCCCTAGCATTAGCATTGTATTAAAGAATATTTGCAAAGAGGTTTGCAACTTGGGGGGTATTTTATGACTCTGACCTCTAATTTGAGTCTAATGTCATGCAATCCTTCTTCATTCAGCTTAGACAGATATCAAAAATCAATTAGTTCAAAATCCTGCTGACAGGCACCAGTCCTTGCAATCATTCTTTGGCTACCTGTTAGCTTTAAAAATTAATTTTAACATTTTATTCCTGGACTTTAAACCCCTACATAGTCTGTCCCCTGCCTATATCTATGAGATGTTATTTTAAATGAGTATGGCTGCTGCCCACTAACAAAGCATATTCTTGTTAGTAGTCTGTAAAGCTTGTTTAGTCACTAAAGATCGAGGCTTTGCAGTCCAGGTCTCACAACTTTGGATTTCCCTGCCTGAGCATCTCATCCAGGCTAATTTTGTAACCTCTTTTAAATCTCTTAAAGCACATGTTTATCATCCGCTTTCTATAACTGCTAATGCGGAATCTTTTTCATTTTTAAGACCCAAATGTGTATAAATGTTTGTTTTTCCTTAATCTTTTCAATTTTTAATTTTTTTTAAATTCCCACTGTAGTCATGCTTAACTCCAACTTCTCATATTTGTTGCTTTTATTATTGCTAAGCACTTTGTAACATTGTTTTGAAAAGTGCTTCATGTTTTATTTGTTCTACACACATTTTTGCAAATAAAAAAAAATGCACACCATTCTCAGTATGTCTCAGTGGAAATACCTCGGTGTTTATATCAACGAGGACCTTAATTGGAACACACATACGGACTTCCTCATCAGCAAAGGCAGACAGCGCCTCTATCATCTGAGGCGTTTAAAGAGGTTTAAGATCTCCAAGAACATCCAGAGGAGATTCTACACCGGGGTCATTGAGAGCATCCTGTGTAATAACATCACGGTGTGGTACGGGAACTGCACAGTACAGCAACAGAAAGCCCTGCAGAGGGTCGTGCGCACAGCTGAACGCACTATGGGAACATCTTTACCAACACTGCAGGACATCTACGCTGAAAGGTGCAGATCCCGGGCCATCAGGATCACTAACAACTCCAGCCATCCCACTTACAAACTGTTCAGGCCACTGAGGTCAGGGAAACGCCTCTGTAGCCTGAAAACAAGAACTGAAAGGTTCAGGAGGAGTTTTTACCCACAAACAGTGAGACTCCTCAATCAAAACACAAATCGGACAACATGATGGACAATTCCATACACAGTATATAATTTTCTTTTGAGTTTTATCCTTATTTTTATTTGTATTTTATCATTTACATCTGTATTTATGTAAATACGTACACTATAGCTCTTAACTATTACAGCGTAATATTTTGCACGATATTATACATTTTTATACTTTTATATAGATTTTTTTTTTATTATAAGTTTAGTAAGATGCACAGTCGGGGGGGGGAGTACTTGTGTTGTACTAGTTATAACTACATGTGACAAATAAATAAAGAATTGAATTGAATTGAAAAAAACATTAGATAATGGAGTCTGCTTTAGAAATCAATGCCAGTGCATCTCTACACTGTAAACAAAACGAGTGCATTGTGGAACATAACACATGCACAAGGATATAAACAAATATGTACTAATGTGTTTCTTTTTTAATCTTTGCATTGTCATATTTTATGGCTGAAGAGAACAAGCTTTAAACGGGGTCTTTTTGTGCTCTGTGTAACGCAAGTTGCAGCACAGCCAGCTTGGCCTTTCTGTCTATCTGACCTATATTGTATGTGTCAGTCATGGGTTAATAATTACTGCTGGCTGTTAGTGCCTGGTCGATGATGATGTTGGAGCAAAGTCAGCAGCCTGATCAATCCACGGTACCAGGCCCTCTTAGTATCATTCAGATGTACCTACTGTTTTGTGAATTTAGGTGTTATTTATGACACCGTGTGGCATTCACGGGCAGTCGGAATCACCTGAGCACTTTAAAGCAGACAGTTCGGTCCCTCGCTCCTATTGGTCGAGTCACGTTCGAAACAGCTGAAAACACCTTTATTCGTTTTTAATATCACTGTATTACTGCGCGAAACGAACTAGCACTAACATAAACACACTAGTGCCGAGGAACTACACCGCTTAGCGGAAGAATAAAATGAAGAGCTGTTTATCTGAACTTCAATGTGTTTAAGCAGCGGTATTCCCGCTGTCTGGTGACAGCGTCCGGTTTGACTAGATTTAAGAAGCGTGTTCAGAAAGCGCATTGAGCGGCTTAGATACTATTTAGCGCTATGTTGAAATAACATAAAACAGCATGGAGTCACGCAGAGGCTAATATATCCAACAGGTATCAGTCAAACCAACCTGTCCGTCGGCGTACAGCGTGTTAAGCATCGTGGTCGGCGACAAGAAGTCCCTGTTTCGTAGATTTTTAGCGCTGCTCTCCTTAAACCAAAGCTTCTCTGGTTCAGGGAATACCCTGTCACCGTTTACACGGCTGGAACCGTGGACATCTTCACGCTTCCCCCGCAGCGCGGAGCTCAGAGCACGGACTGTAGGGGTGATGCGAAGGGGCGAGAGCTCCTCGATGTTCTCCATCATCACCACCACCACAGCACAAACAGGTGAGCTTTCTACCAGTCAGCTCATTCACCCTCTCCTCATATCTTGTGTCAAGGCGTCGTCCCGCTGCTCGCGTTGAGACGGGCGAAGATGAGCCTGATTTTGGGTTACGCTAGCCGCACGGTTGCTCGCTGGTTGATGTCAGATGTTGCGCTGCATTGCCTGTTTTCTCTGCGGAACTAGTGAAATGTAATTTGTGTTTTCCTACGACATACATTCGCGTGTCGGACCAGCATGGCGCCATCCAGTGTTAGGTGAAATAACTGCAGTAGTTGTGCCCCAAAATTTGTGCATACTGCTCTCTGTACTGAGACTCTGGAATTTTGTTAGGGTTTGAGCTCGCCACCTCTTATCCAGTGAGGGAGAAAGGTCAATCATAAGGTGAGCCCACAACTCAAAAGTTGACCCTGGTCTTAGAAACCCAACATCATGAAATCCTTCCATCAGGGGTGAAGTTTAGTTAGATCATTTTCTTATTGCTTACTTTTTTTTTTTTTGCTAATACAACCATAAACAGCTTTGTGTGTAGAAACTAAACATGCAGCAATTTTCACATTGATCATCTAAGCAAATGTTTTTTTTTAAAGATTGTAAATAAAGTTATGGGTAGCACAAAGGAAGGTCCTTACAGCAGTTCAAAGACATGCAGTTAGTGCGGTTAGGTGAACTGGTGATTCTAAATTAGCCGTAGGTGTAAATGTGAGTATGAATGGTTGTCAACCTAGCAGAGCAGCTTTTCAGTTATTAAATACAAAGCTGAGTGCAGAGAGAACCACAAACAAGTAGCAGCTGAAGACAGCTGCAGCAAAAGCCTGGCAGAATATCTCAAAGGAAAAAACACAGCATTCGGTGATGTTCGTGGGTTCCAGGCATCAGGCAGTTACTGACTGCAAAGGAATTTCATCCAAGTATTAAAAAAGTAACCCTTATATTTAAAAGTTTGTAATTTTGCCCAAGTAATGTTTGATCATTTTGATAGGTGTATAGAGGCAAAATTATCAAAAATAGTCTCTGTCAAACAAATTATGGACCTAAAGACATGGAGATCCCATTATCTCTATGATTTAAAGAGACGAACTGCAGAAAATGTGTCATTGTCCCATTAATGACACGCTGCATTTTGAACAAAGAAAAGGCAAACAACAATGATGAAGCTAGTGTCAGTGACGGTCACCTAGCTTGGAGAAAAGTCCTCCTGCAACTGCACACAGGTGCTGGAGGACATCCATCTGCAGAGGTCAATGGACCATAACAGGAAAATGCCTTATAATGTCAGCTCACAACCGTGACTGAAATAATCAGTTGATGAAACTACAAGAAAAATCATGAGATCTTGGAGTGCTACCTAGTTCCCTGCACTTTCTGCCTCATCAGACCACCGACTGTCTGACAGCTGTCAAGTGTCTCAGTCCACATTTCTTCTTATTATAAACTACTAAGGTGATATTCAAGGAACTTTAATTGTCTGAGCTGCTATTGAGGCAGATAATGCACTGCACATTACGCTTGGAAATTTGATTTCACTCCAGAAATGACAGACAAAATGGATTTAGTAAATGTGAGCAACAAACACGACTTCGTGTTACATGGCTTAACACCTCTCGTGTGAACATGCAGCAACCTTCGGTTCACAGGAAAGAGATGAGTCAGTATAGCGCTGACGTCTGGATGTCCTGATGGTGTGCAGTTAGACGTGCAAAGTCTTGTTTTCCTGTGTCCTACAAACAAAATGAAGCTTAATGGTTTAGTGTTTGGCTAGCACTCTGGCTGCATTAATCACACTGAACTGAAATAAGGTAAAAAAAAAAGTGTCTTCTGTTTATCCCGGCTCCCTTAAGTGCTGCTGGTCAGATAAATATGGCAAACACTTTATAGTTCTTGATGTTCTAAAGCTGCAGCAGAGAGCTTCGACACTCTCATCTGATACAGGCAACTCTAACATTTAAAGTTTGTTCAAACAAAAGAAGACTTTTTAAATGTAAAGTAGGGAAATGAGCCCATCTTCTATTAACCTCTGGCTACATTAGCCGTAGGCTCAGGGACAAAGACTGCCCTCTGTAGGATGAGTATAGCTAAGAAAAAACTACTGACTTGAATCACACACTTGGTTAGTTTAACCCTCACTGTCACTCATAACTGACCGAGAGCTCATAACTAATCTGAGAAATGAAGGGATCATTTCAGGAAAAGACTCCGTTCCCTTATCCTGAAGGTTTGTTATTTTGAAGGAATGATTTGGAACCAGGCAGTGCAGAGCGACTGCAGAAGCTGTGCTGTAATACTGCTCCCGCCTTGATTTTATTTATTTATTTTTTTTTGGGGGGGGGCTGTCAAGTTATCTGGTTCTGCATTTGCATGATGTCCAAGCCTGTTGTCCTATATTTACTTTTTTGCCTTGGGGCAGTACCTGATCTGTTAACCGATTGGTTCACAAAGGTTCATCTACAGTACAGTGGATTACACAATACAACCCTTCACTTTATCACGAACCTGTTTTAGCCCAAGCATTGCTGTAACATAAGACTTGCCTTAAAAGCACATTAAATAACATGCCTAAACTTAAAATGCAACTATTTACACCAAGTAGGTGTGCCATGTGTTACCATACACCTGCAGACAGACCTGCTCTGATTGGATGATATATGTGCTCATCATTGTTAGGTTTTATTGAACCTTTCCAGTGTTGTTTAGACGGAGAGTTAGACTTTGACTTCTTTCATTCAGAGTCAGAGCACAATCAGAATACATATCATAAACAATATGTGATACTGGGATGTCCTTTGCTTAGCAACATAAAATCCATTAGGCGAACATGTTATAGTTAAATAAAAGTAAATTAAACTAGATGTGAAGAAATATTTTAGTTTGTGTGTTGTTGTGTGTAATATTTTTTAAATGACTTTTGAGAGCAATTAAAACTAACTGAAGCAATTTTGTGCACTACAATAATTAAATAAAGTAAAGCTGTGAAGAAAATATCCCTAGTTTTAGTATCTGTTAGTTTAGTATAAAAATAAAGTATTAAAACTTGAGTCATGAGGTGTTGAGAGACTGTTGGAGACTCTGAATGTCTACAATACTATGACACAATTTGAGTGAACCGCTTTCCAAAAGTTGTTTTTATTCTAATACCTGTACTAAGTTTCCTAACTCTAGCCTCTGACACATGCCCTCCATACAATAATAATTAGACTTAAACCAAGAGGGAAACTAATTAAACCGAAACTAAAACAAACCTTTTTTTTTTAACGATAAAAACAAACATGAAATAAGGAAGCACCCTCTGCAAACTAAACATAAATTAAAGAACAATAATAGAATCCAGTAAATACGAATAAGACTACATATCTGTGATAACTTGGCTAGAAGGTGAGATTTGTAAATGACTATTTGTTTTCGCAATTTTTGGCTGTTTATCGGTGTTTTTAGTGTGTTTACTAGGGTTGAGAGTGACTGGCGTGACGTGGATGACGGTATCAGGAGTTTAAAAGGGGGGATGAGGGGGTGGGAGACAAATAATCCTCTATTTGCACGTCGTCTTCCGGCGGAGCTGTATGACGCACGGGGTGCAAAGATTAAATAAATAAATAAATGCATCTTTTTAAAACGGTGTTTGTGTGATTTTTGTTTGTTTGTTTTTGTTTTTTAGTAAGTTGAGACGTGTTGTTGGGGTAATTGAACGCAACCCCAGGATGCACAACTGGCAAGAGAACGAAATCCGAAGACTGCTAAGGATCCGCAACTTGATCGCGGGCACGGCGAGAACTCCGCGGTTTACCGGCGGATAAACAGCTGCTGGCGGAGAGGGTCGTCCGCGGGTCACTGTACCACGAGCAGAAGACCCGCTGCGGGACCGAGCGCGTCGTCTAGCTGATACGTAGACAGCGACGTGATCTTCGAAATGCCCAGGGGGGGGGAACCCGGTGAAGCGCCATCCCCAGCACCTACACCCGCCACGCCCACCTCCGCACCGAAGTGCAGTCAGGGACGAAGTGGACGACAGAGGGCTCAACAAGCACCTGGGCCCAGCGGAGGTGGATGACGACGAGGACCAGTACAGCCCACCAGAACACGTGCACACAATCAGCCCCGTGAGTTTGATTCTGTTGCAAGTTTGCAGGGGCGGTGCTAGATGCTATCAATCAAGCGCTGGTATCGGTATCAGATCGATTCTAGTGCAACAGGGTCAATACTTAGTTTCTGTCCTCGAAGTTCAGTACTTCTAAACCGAATTGTTAATTTTTATTTTTTAAGAATGGGGGGAAAAAAAACTTTAAATTGCACTCTAAAAAATGTCGGAACCATTCTGTTGAATGTCTTTATTTGTAGCCTTGAGCACACTGAAACAACAAGCTTGTTTGACGTTTGAACTTCTATGGAGACCAGTGCATTTAGATTCCAGTAAAAATCACTAAAATAGTATAAATAGTATGTGAATTGGTCGTGAGGTGCAGATATCACATAGACTGGTTTAAACACACTACTGCACAGGAGGTTTTGGTCCAGTTACACTTTACTCTATTTATATTCTCTATACAGGTCTGGCTCCACAGAGTAGCTCAAGCCTTTTACAGCAGGTAGTGAGGTCTGTGGGAGCTACATCATTTTTTCTGTGCACATTGAAAACCTACAACAAAGCCCAAGCGTTCATGGCTATTCTTCAGTTTTCAAATTATCAGCAAAGACCATGCAGAGGTGTTTATTATTATCCCATATACTTTTGATGTTGGGGTTTAGTGGAAAGGACTTTCTGAAATTGATCGGCATGCCCTTGGATGTTCTTAGTATTTAGGTGTAGGTGGGCTTCATTGTTGCACACACATTGTCTTTGAACACAAATTTTCACAGTTGGATCCACTCTGTCAGATAAGCTAGCTTTTAAAAGAATGCCATCAGATTCCTGCATGCATTTAAACTGACCTCTGGCCAGTATTTGGGTCTCCAGTTCTTTATCTAATCTGTAGGAAATCTGCATAAGGATCAGTATCACTTATTCAATATTCTGTCCTTATCAGGAGGCTGTTTTATTGCTGGAGTTTGTTCTATTCACCAGAGTAGATTTGAAGGGATGGTCGACTGTAAGACCGGTGGCCATAGTTTCACTTTGAGCAGACAGATGAAAGGGTGTCACTGTCTTCTAATTGCATGCTGCAATGTCTTTGTTTTACAGCACACGGTGATGGAGGAAGTCTCCACATCAGTGTTGGCGACGGATGCCCAGATCAGAGAGATGGACGCCTGTTTGCAGAGGTTAAAGGAGCATGAGAGGGAAATGAAGAACAGTCTCATGAGCCAGTTCATAGCCATGAATGAAAGAATAGGACGTGACACCTCAAACTTGTGAAAGACTACTGTCCAAGTTTCCTTTGCCTTTGGCTCCTTCAGGCTGCTGACTGACTCGTTCTTGTGTGAATGGCACTTGTTCACCACTTGTCCAGTGCCTCAGCCCAAATTAACCTCAACTCTGTTCAGTTGTAGCTACTACTGATCCAGGTCATGTTCACACTTTTGTTTTCTGTGAATTGATTTCAGTCGTTAGTTAACCAGTACATATTTTTAGATGCATACTGTAATTCAATTTTATCGTACTAGCAAAGTAAACGTAGAAAATGAATAGCTGGTCTTTCTGGTTCTGCCTTTGCTTTTTGATAACACAGCCTACTGTGGAAGACTAAATAGAGTGGCTTTCTTTGTGTCAAAGAGTGCTGTGTGTTTTCTTTTCTTTTAAATTTCCCTGAGCGCTCTCACCTTCTGTGTAGCTGTGTGTAACTCAGATTTTCATCTTGTCTACAAATGACTAAGCAAGAATGAAAATGCAGTAGGCATGTTTGGCTTTTCTGAAAAATTCTTTTCTATAGAAATGCAGGTGGTTTGATCTACATTCCTCTTCACTCTCAGTGCTTTTGAACCTTTTAAGCTTCACCATCATGCTTCTGGGATCTGAGTTGTGTGAGTCTGAAAATCTGCATTTGGTGGATTAATACCTGCAGCGTGAACAGAAAATAAAAGATAGCTGAGTTAGTCTAGTGTCTGACACGCGGGTGGGTGTATTCCTCCACCATCCAGGCCAGACATGTTTGAGTGAACACTGAAATGTAACACAAAGTAGGAGTGCGCTCAGCTCCAGATCTTAAACATGTATCGCGTGCCCGGTCTTGACAAATATGAAAACAAACAGAATACAGGCACCAGATGGGAAACATTCATTTTTCTTACCAAATATTGAAAGCATATTTTGGTTGAGACATCATCAGGATAGTCTGATGTATAATAAGATGAAATAATATTTTAGAATATAGTATAATAATTGTATAGAAATATGAGGTGAGGTCCAATCAACAAAGAGGACACACCGGCACGATAGAGAGCAGGCTAACCACCCAGATGAGAAAACTGCCATGAAAGAACAAAACAAAAAACATCACGTCATCATCCACAGTTAAATACTACAATAAGTTATAGCAGAATAAAAGTCTAACAGACTTGTATGAAGCTTTATCCCAATATGTTTGTCTTTATTTTGAACCGACCAAAACAGAATCTCTTATGAAGCCAAATATGTGCTCTGCTTGTTGAAAGGTTTCACCCTCTTTCACAGGGTCGGTGATGGCAGGTGTGGACTCAACACGGAACCTGCTGCTCAGTCATTTCCTGCGATCTTGTGGAACTGTCGAATTACAGGTACTCCTCTGTAGGTGATGCTGTTTGGTGTAATTGAGGGCAGTTTTTTCCTCACTCTTATAGATTAAGCAGCCTTATGGATATTAAGAAGAACACGTGTACATATTGTGTGCTGGTTTGTGGAAACAGTGGGCCACACTCATTTGTAAAAGCAGAACAAATTGTAGCTGCTGCTTTGTGATGTGTTTGGAGGAAATGGTAAAAGCTTGTAATGTGATTTGACATTTACAGGACAACATGGGTTGTCACGAGCTTTCTGAGAAAGCATTGTTGTCATACATACACCAGGTAGTAGTACCAAGAGGACGAGAAAAACCACTGTTATTTACTGTACATATGTACCACTGAAACCGTCGGTGGTAGAGCGCATCATAAGCAACGTGCCACAATGGGCACTGCAAGAAAAATAATAACTTTAACTGTCAGTTTAAAGTTTGAGGTTTATTAGAAATACCTGTTTAGCAATACAATTAGTTTTTAAAAAAAACAACAACTACACACATTTTAAATATTGAAAGTAAAAAAATAATTTTCAGCTGCCTCCTCAGTTGCTGTTTCAGGTGTCATTCTTGGCTGACACGAAATTCCCGGTTGCGTTTCCTGCTCACAGCAATCCGGGAGAAAACGTGTCATTGAGGAAAAACACCTCTGCATTAATCAGTCGAACCACTTTTGCAGACCGGCGACAGAGTGTCACATGACCTTACAGGCGTTAGTTTCACTTTCTTCACTGATTCAACAGAAACAAAACCACAGGTCTGCCCTGCGTGGGCCGTGATGGTGAACAGCGAGACAGTAGCTGTTATCAAAATGGGTTTTCTCAGTGACTCAGCTGGGTATTTTTACCCCAGATGCTTTTATAGCGTTCTTCACTGCCACTGGTGTTTTGCTTTTACTGTTTAAACATGGTTTTTGTTCTTCGTGTGAGAGTTTTGAACTGACGTGACATGAATTCTGTCTTAAAAACATTTCAAGGTGACCTGCAGTGTTGAAGCGTAATGTCTGATGTGTGGAAGGAAGGAGGATGCCCCACCGGGCTGATGGGTCGGGGGATGTCTTGTGCGCCGTGGGATGGAAACGGACCCCATAACCAGCTGGGGCTCAGAATCACAGCTGCATTATGGGTTCCGTTACAATCCCACCCACAAACAGAGGGTTTCAGCAGGGCTGGCCTCAGGTCAACACGGCTAAAATAAAAAGAAAAAAAAGAACAAGTTAGAAACAGAAAGTAGGTGAATTTACATGATATGTTTGAGAGCAGTGATCAAACTCAGACGACCTGAAACGGAAAAACATGAGTGAGCTTTTCGATGCATTACTTCATGTTTGTTTTGCACTGACAAATGAGTAAGGCGCTTTTTAGTGATTTGAAATTGAGAATTGTGGCTTGTTTCCATTGTTGGGCTGCGCGAGCAGCTGAGGGTTTAGATGATTCAGTGGCAGTCGCAACACTAACTTCCGCTGGCTCGTTTTGTTCTGGTTTTTGGGCGCTGACACGACCTGATCTCAGACCTGCAGTGGTTCACAGTGGATCTGAATGGAAATTGTGTAACCTCCACCCTGATGTACTTTAAGTTATTTGGCTGAAATGTGAACAATTTAAAGAAAAAAAAGATGTATTTCATCAATGAACAAGTGAAAACCCACTTTGTGATACATTTCTTTTTTTTTTTTTTTTTGATAAAGTTTGATCATTTTCAGCCATTTATTCCGACTCTCTAACTGCTGGTTTATGCTTCTGCAGAAGCAGACATTTAAGCCTATAAGGCGATCAGAGTCCAGTGTTCTTTATGCTGTAACATAAAAACAACCATTAAAATCACCCAGCCACTCAGGTCTAACTCGGTGATTTAAAAGTCCCACACAGATTCAGACCGATGCAAGGAGATTTAGTTTATCACTCCAAACACGACACACCTCCCAGTCACACAGCAGCTTGGCTCATTACAGTAGCTTAAAAAAAAATTACAGGCTCACCATTAAATTTGTAATAAAATGGACAAAGATGTTAGCGAGAGTTATGGGATACAAACTGCTTTTTACAGAAAACTCTTATTAACCAAAACTGGTTTCTGGAACTGATAATAGATGCTTTTGTAAAGTCTTCTGTTCTTTTAAGTTAGATAATTTACTGTGTTGCTGTCTGATTGAACGCTCTTAAACCAGAGTGCGTCTTAAAGAAATACTCCCCTTAAAGGTTTGGTCTGCTTGAGGGGGAAAGGTAGCAGAACAACTGTACGGCTTTCCTGAGAGGCAGGAGTCAGAAGAGGAAAAAGTCGTTTTTGTTTTGACCCAAATAAAGCATATATGTTAAAAAAACAACGTGAGGTTCAGCTTGTCAGCTTTAAATCCATATCCATATATCCAGATATTGAAAATAGACCCATCACTTACTGTAACTACAGTCATAAATAGGACTATATAGGTATTCTAGCTTGAAAAACCAGTTTTGTGTTACCAGTTGTCAGAAAGAAAAAGAAAGCAAACAACAGAGGGGGCGCGGGAGGTCAGTCTGACAAGGAAGAGCTGATAGAAACGATAAAAAGGAAGAAGAGAGCAGACGAGAAAACTTTAAGGAAGAGATTTCCATCGTGGGACTCTTCCTGTGAAGCCTGAAATATGCCTCACTCTGCCCTGTAATTAACAGCTAATCCAGGAAAACAAAAGACGAAGTCACTGAAAGAAAGATGCCTCGCAAAGGAGACAAAACAGCAGCAGCTCAAAGATACTTTCAGTTTGTCTTGTCGGCTTAAACCCCTGATTTAAACCTGACGACTTTGTAGCTCTTCTACAGTGTGTGGGAGAATTAAACAAACCCATCCGTTGCAATCAATTTAAAAAAAAAAAAGCAAACTGTGTGTGGGAGGAATGTGAGGAAAGAGTTAAAGTTAAACTGAATAAGGAGAGAGAGAGGTGGAGCCATTCAGAAGCCAAGCAAGAGAATGAAAGCAAAGTGAGTGTACACAAGGAGCTGTCAGACACACGGCTCATCATTAGATTCAGTGTTGCTGAAATTTAAAAAGCTTTTACCTAAATGTCGAGCGGCTCACCTGCGCGTCTGAGTGCTGCGTCGTCCTCTGCAGTCCCGTCTGCCAACAGCTCTGGGACTCCAAACTTCCTCTTTAAATACTCCACAGATTCATTTCACTTTCACTTCTCCTGAGGGCAAAACTCCTCCTTTCCTTCCTTTATCCACTCCCACTGCCCCAACTCGCCTCTCGCCCTCCGCACAGAGACGGCAGCTGGTTTTCTTTATTTAAAATGCATTCTAGGCAAACAAAAAACACCCACAATTGGTGTAAAAGTTCACTTTTATGTGCCTTTTCTGTTTAAAATTGTTGTACAGTAAGCACAACCTCAGTGTATTTAAACTTTAACTGATTCAAATGCTTTCATTTATCATGAAACAGCCATATGTTTTATACAATGTTTTATTGTCTGTAGTACATATAAGTGACACACGATCAGTTTTTATGACTTAAATACATTTATTTTCATTTTCATTCTCCTGTAGTGACTGTAAATTAACATATTTTTATATTTTATAAAGGATCAGATTATTCAGATTAAAAAATACAAGTTTAAGTGCATGTAGGTTTTAGTAGCTGATGTAATTTTTAAAAAGTCAGATTCATATCTTTCAAACAAATTAACTTTCTTTTCAGTGAAAACACTTCTATGGTGCTTAAAAAAAATAAAACTGGAAAAATCTGGATTATCCAGGACCAGAAGATATTCTACTTTTTACCTTTTTTTTTTTTTAATGCTGTGAGCCTACACAAGAAACGTTATTCTCTTTCACTTTGTTTTGGTGGATGGTTAAATCTCCACAACTTAAACCTACTCAGTCCTGTTTGGGTTAACAAATAGGGCATAAGAGTGTCGTAAATAAGTAAAGGTGCAAAGTTCTCATGAACTGTTGTTGTAGATCAG